CCAGCCCGCCCGGCTCCGCAGCAGCAGCCGCCCCTTACCAACACCGACAACACACACGTCGGCACGCAGGACCTTCCCGCTCTTCAGCACAACCTCCTTCAGCTGCACGAGACACGGGGGGACATTGCGGTTATTTTAAGGACAAACACACACACCCCCGTAGCAGCAGCAAGCCAAGCTGGCAGCTTGCTTCATTTTTGACGTGCAAGGTGCCCATAATTCCTTGTAACGGCCAGGAGGAGGGTGGGAGTGATGGAAGCACCATACACACCGCGCCGGAGCACAGCTGTTCCTGGGGGCTAAGTCCAGGAATATGAGTTTTGGGGGCTAGGAAGGAGTAGAGGGCAAAACCCCAGCGGGGAAGGGAACAGCAGCCCTGGGGGGATGCCGTGGCGGTGCCCCTGGGGAGCCCCCACCCGCTCCCTACCTTGCCCTCCTGCTCCCGCAGCTCCGACACCTCTGTCTGCATGTAGAACTTCACCCTGTTGCTCTCGAACATCTGGTGGGGGGGACATGGGACAGAGCAGGGGACATCAGGACCGCGAACCACCCCTGCTCCTGGTGTCCCCTGCCCCCTGCCCACCCTCTGGCTCGCCTCGACCCTGCAAAGGGGGTCGGCAGCACCTCCGTCCCCAACGCGTGTCCAGAAGAAGGTGCTCTACAGCACGTGGACCAAGAGAGGGAAGACACAGCCCATTCTTTCTAGTGACTGCTAGACATCACATCAATAAACGTCAAATAACAAATTAATTAGTGCAATAAGTGAAACAAGCAGAACCCACTCTGTCACCAAAACCACCCCCCAGATGGGAAAGTGAGGTCACCTTCATGACAGCGCGGCCAACCCTCTCCCCAAAGAACTTCTTGAAGGGGACTTCCTCCAGCTCCACCAGGGACACCGAGTGGGCCCTCTCCGCGAGGTAGGCGGCCACCTCCATCCCTGGGGAACAGAAGCAGGTCCGAGCGGCCGCAGGAACCCCCCCGGCACTGGCCGCAGCGGAGGAGCAGCCTTGCCCACTCCTGGCTGGGGAGGTTGGAGCTGCTCTACTGGGAGATCTGGGGTGCCACCAGACCTGGGGGCCTCAAGGGACCACACCATTTTGGGTGAGATTCATCACTTAAGGCAATTTGTTCTTAGACGCAGGCTTCAAAAACCAAAGGGAAGAACTGGGCATGACAAAGTCCCAAAGTGCCCCAGGAAGCCATAGCAGTTGGAGCCATGGACCTGAGATAAGGGAACCCTTCCTCGGACAGCTGGGACTGTCTCAGCAGAGGGGAAGAGCTGCAGGCTGAAAACAGCCCTTGTCACTAGCTGTTTCCTCTGATCAGAATGCGACAGTTTTGGTGCTGGTAATTGCATGAGAACCTTCACCAAGACATTTTCTGTCTATGGGGTGGTTTTTTTAGAAATGGATCTTTGTGATGACCTGCAGTTTGCAATTGGCCTTCCACACCACCTGCTTTTCTGTAGATGGGGGTTGATTGAGCCAGTAAAAGAGGATTATTTTTTTTAAAAAAAAAGAAGAAAAACAAATACTGAACATATTATAATAAATTCCCTGACTAACAACCATTTACGCTTCAGGCTTGCAGGACCCACAATAATTTTGTTAGAACCATCAAAGAAATTGTAAGATTTTTCCTGTGTTTTTTTTGAAAATTCACCACTCTGCTAAAATGTAAAAGAGAAATAAACGCACAGGCTTTCACCTACCAACAAGACCCTCCCAACTGAAGCCAAATCAAGACATGCCAGATTTGAAACCCTCCAAGCACCAGTACTGGACTTGCCGTATGCTTTTCAGACTGGGACAACAATATCTGAATGGCCCAGCCTCTCCAGGAAAATCAATTTCTTCAGCAAGGAGATGTCCTTACCACCCACCTGGAGCTGGAGGTTGGACTACCCCGAGGGCCAGTTTGGGGAGGGGGGTTACCTCTACCTGGGCGGTGACAAACTGGGCGAGAGATTGGGACCGTCTGCAGGCAGACGTGGACAGCTGAGATGCGGCCACCCGCGGAGTGAGTGCTCACCCAGGAAAGATGCTCCCACAATAACCACATTCTTGCTCGTGGCCAGCTTCACAACACGGTTGGCATCTTCGGGTGTCCGGATGTTGAAAACGTTTTCCACCTCCTTGCCTTTGCAGCTGAGAGCTTTGGGCCTGAAAAACACATGTGGAGGGCGATGCAGGTGCTTTTTTTGACCCCGTGGTGGCAATCGGGACTGCAGATCCCCTGTCCAGGGCTCCAGCAGCATCTCAGCCTTCCCTTTTTTCACCTTTGGGCTGGAGAAATAACATGGAAAAACCAAAAGGCTGATGGACAACGGCCAGAGCATGACCGTGAACACCGGTGCAGCAGGGGCTGCTCGGCAGCTGCCCCCGACGCCATCCACAGACCGGTGTGCCAAGGGCTGGGGCAATGCAGCACACTGCAGGACAGGTACTGCTTTGCAAGCTGGTGCTTTACTGCTGGCATGTTGTAAAATTTTCAGAAGCTTAATGGGACACAGAAAACTCACTCTGTCCTCCAGTACACGCTTTGGAGCCAGATATTGAACTTTTCATAAGCCTCTGCAGATGCAGGTTCCACTATCTGTTCCCAGGGGCACGCTGCTGATTCTGTAGCAGTTTAATCGTGTTCTCCTCATGCACTGCCTGGAGCCTATATATTTTTAAATATCTGGCCCCTGCATACCTGACTCACATCTGGAAATGGGACAGATGTTGCTAAATAATTTAGTTACCTTAAAAGCATTTACCCAGTGCATCTGGAGCTTGTGCATAAGGATTTTGAAATTATTGCCAAAGGCTTAATCCTCTTTTGAACCTAATGAGGTGGCTGGTGCAGACGGCATTTTGGCTGCAGCGCTGCACAGCCCACCACCAGCCGTTAGCGCTTGCAGGGGCTGTTGGTGTTAATGCTGGCACACCAGGGTGCAACGGG